AAGAAGTCAAATACATTCTTAGGAACAACCGCAGGTGATTCTAATGCAGGAGGTACTTGTTCTATGCTGAGAAACATTGGCAGTGGCTAAAAGTTTAAGACTTTTGGGTCATAAAGCCACACCTTGACTCCTAGCTCTGCTGCATACTAGCTGTATGACACTCTTTGGTTTCAGGCATCTTCTAGCTTCAATTTCCTCATCTGTAATCTAGGTGTTCTGAGAATTAATGAGATAAAGTTTCTGGCAAATAGTAAACTAGGATTTCTTAATCTGGAGTCCATGGGCTGGGGATGGCTGGCAGGAGGATACCCCACTGAAAATGTGTTAAAAGATACTCCTTTCATCACAATCTCTAAGTAGTTGGGGCCCAAAGAAGGCCAGAACCTCCTAGAGTAAGTGGTTGCTGTTATTATCATTGTCAAGTTCTGAGGGATCCTTCCACATTTGGTGCTGTCCTAGGGCATAGAGGGACATGCTACTCTCATTTCCTGGTCATTAAATTACCTGGTAGACTGCTGCCTGTGTGTAAACCTGGGCTATTCATGGGGTTTTCCCACCTGCACTCTCCTTCCTCCTTCCCTCTGGTAGAGATATTTGACAAATCTTGGGAGAGGATGCAGAGCAAAAGTCTTCCAAGATTGCATATTTCTGTAGAGTTGAATCTGCATCTCAAAATGGCATATATCCTGTTCCAGGAAAATTTTTTAATTTACCTTGTTTAGGATTTGTGCAGTACCTGAATCTAAGAATTCATGTCCTTCAACAATCCAGAAAAAATTCTCAGATACTCTTTGAACACGGCTTCTATCCCACGTTTTATCTTTCCTTCAGGAATTCTAATTGGACCTTATGTATGTCAGACCTTTCTATTCTATCTTATGTCCTTTCTCATGTTTTCTGGATTTTTACCTTCTGTTTACCTTCTTTTACATCCTGGGTAGTGTCTTCAGATCTAGCTTCTATCTCACTTATTCTCTCTTGTGCTGTAATTAATCAGCTGTTTAACCTGCACATTAACTTTAGAAACCTTGACAATGCAAATATAATTAACAAATCAAATTGAATGACTAAAACAATTAGTTATTAAAATTCTTTAACTTTATAGGAGCCTTTTAAAAACTAATATATCTTGTGGTAAAGAAACATTTATCTGAGGTTTACCAGTTTCTTCTGCTTCCCTTCTTATTTCTGTCAAATCCAAACAAAATTAAAAGAATTAAAACTAGTGTCCAGCTTGGTGGTGTAGTGGTTAAGTTCGCATGCTCTGCTTTGGTGGCCTAGGGTTCATGGGTTTGGATCCCTATGGACCTACATACCACTTATCAAGCTGTGGTGGTGTCCCACATACAAAATAGAGGAAGATTAGCACAGATGTTAGGTCAGGGCCAACTGTCCTCACCAAAAAAAATAAATAAATAAAGTTCTCTTTCGTGTGTGTGTCTGTGTAAAGACAGATATTCATGTAAAGTTAACAGGATTTTTTTTTGGCAGGGAAAGATTTGCCTTGAGCCAAAATCTGTTGCCAATCTTCCTCTTTTTTTTGTACATGAGCCACCACCACAGTGTGGCCACTGACAAGTGGTGTAGGTCCATGCCTGGGAACTGAACCCAGGCTGCCGGAGCAGAGCACTCTGAACTTAACCACTAGGCCACCGGACTGGCTCTTGCCAGGTTTTCTGATCTCCTGTTCCCTCCACCCACAACCCCATCAAGGGCTGATGTGGATTCCAAAAAGAAAAATGGGTATTTAGCCTATGCTTTGTGCAATTCAGTCTTGTCAACTACAAAGAGATCTTACACAGAGGAACTGTATTTTAGTGATCAAGAGTGTAGTCTGTGGATTCAAGCACCCTGGTTTCGAATACTGACTCCACTTTCCACTAACTCCTTCTCATCTCCTCCTTGTCTTAGTTCCCTCCATTTTAGCTAATAATATAATTATCTCATGAGGTCATTGAGATGATTAAATGTAAAGTGATAAGTGATTCATAAATGATGCTATTATGTTACAGCGAGATTTTTATTTCCTAGGCTCTATTTTCATACAAACATCAAGGTGAGCATTGCTTCAGTTGAATAACTGTGTCACATTTGCGGTGTCATACTAGGTTGTAGAAAAGTTGAGAAGAAAAAATACTGAACGCACACATGGCCTTCCGACTCACCATGTCAACAGGACTAATGAAGTAATATTTATAGAACAAGGAGTAGTTTTAAGATAACCTGGAAGTTCAGAATACATTTATGATAATGACAGCCTCTGCATTTACAGTTTTAAAACAATACACTTCTAGGCCTCCAACTATACAGGATCTCATTAATTGGTGGTGGTGGTGAGTTTGATAGTTTTAATTCCTGCTGCTTCTCATTTGCATCTTTTATGACAAATTCTGCAAGAGCTATAGCACAACTCAGCACATTACACGTGAAAACATTCGGACTAGGTTTCCCTCTTCTGATGTAACTAACACATACGTGTTAATCTAATGAATCCAAAGCTATTACATTTCTCCAACAAAATCAGGCTAAACTTTGAAGGTCACCCATTTACTTGTAATTTTGCATGATATGATAGTTAAACACTGTTTCCATGTGAACACCTTAATGGCCATCTGATCAGCTGTCTAAACTAACCCATGTTAAATTGAAGATGTTCATTAAAATCCACTTGATTTGCTGGTGGAGGCTGTCTACACTTAGGCCTCAGTCAATACTCTCGGCTTATTCAAAGTGGGTAATTCACCTAGAAGACCTTCATGGACCGTTCTAATCCTGAAGTCTCTAATTCCAAATTGAATGTAGCGGGAGCAGAAGCATTTCCATGTCCATGAAAATATTCCTACTTTCAATAGTGTATGAGGATGGTAGCCTTTTTAAACTAGTAAGACTGTTAAGAGCTTTCTGATTTTGCACATATTAGAACGATTTCTGGGTTTTAAATATACTAACATTAGGGTTCAGTTTAGTTTTCCTTTAATCTTAGACGGCAGGTGTGGTATAATTAAGAATACTTATCCCTAGTTCCTGGCACAGAGCTCCTAAAACACTTGGAATTTCCTGAGTGATGTTATTCATTAACAAGCCCCTTTTGCCCATGTCTGAGTTTATGCTAATGAGGTGACTCTTGGCACTGGTCACCAGAGGAACCAACCAGATGATTAGAGGACTAGAACTATCAGCCCCACCCCAAGATCTCCAGGGAAGGGGGAAGGGCTGGAAAGTGAGTTCAATAATGGATGGCCAATGATTTAATCAATCAAGTGTAGGCAGCGAAACTTCAGTAAACAAGGTTAAGGGAGATTTCAGTTTGTTGAACACAACCATGTGCTGGAGAGCGGAGCACCAGGAAAGGGCATGGAAGCTCTGCCCACCTCTCCCCCACCACCTCCTTGTCCTATGCATCTCCTCCATTTGGCTGTTCCTGGGTTGTATTCTTTACAATAAAACTATACTCATAAGTGCTTTCCTGAGTTTTGTGAGTCATTCTAGTGCATTATTGAAACCAAGGCGGGGGGCGGGGGTGGTGGTGGTGGTGAGAAGCCCTAATTTTTAGCAGGCTGGGCACAAGTGCAAGTATTCTGGGGACTCCAATTTTGGCTGGTGTCTGAAGTGGGGGCAGTCTTGTGGTACTGATCACCTAACTTGAGAAGTCCATGCTAACTCTGGGTAGTGCCAGAAGTGAATTGTTGGACACCCAGTTGGTGTTGGGGAATTGAAGAACTAATATTAGAACAGGGGAAACAGGAGAGGCTCTCCTATCATTCTCCAGTGCACCTGGGATTCCTGTGATGACCAGTGTCTGGCACTCTACTGCCCAGTTGTCACACTGTAGATGTAGCCAAACACCCCAGTAGGAGTAAACTGGGAGGAACAAAATATATATACTTCAGTACTTTAAGTAAATATACAAAATGGTTTTTAACAGCTGTTTTATATTATATGTAAAATGCTTTGCAAACTGCAAACTGCTAGTTAACATAAGGTTTATCACCATGTAGGTAGCTTTCCTCTCCTTCTGCAATTAAATTAACTGGCATTTGGAGCATATCCATATAGCCTTTATATTTTTTTTTGGAAAAATAAAATGAACTATATCTGCCCTTCAAACCTGTCTTGAAAGGCCTTGCCAAATCTGAAAATTCAAATGATAACTTTAACACTTTGTTGTGCCTTTTTCCCTGATCTCTACCTTGTGGTCAGAGCTCTTGAAAGATTATGTTTAAAAATAAATCTTGTTTCATACCTTGGCTTAAGGGCACAGCATGAGCTATTTTCAGCATTCAGAATTCACTAGATACTAACTAGTAATTTACATACTTGAGACCACTATTTGTCAGGGATTTTTTTTTTTTAACAACTAACTCAGGAACATGGACATCTTAAGGCAAACAAAATTCAATGTGATGTAATTTAATTCTATCAGTATTTTCTGACTTCAAAGAAAAAAAAAAAAAATATATATATATATATATAAGTAAGCTTTGCAGTAGGTACCCAACTGCCAAACACAATAGACTTGGAAATGCTCACACACTTTTTTGATCTTAAAATAAAAACACAACCTCCTATTCCTTTTGTCTCTAAATCTGTGACTTCTCCCGTTGTGGTAAGCCTTTCTCTTCAGTGTATTTCATAAATGTGATACCATTTAACATCAGGATTACCAAAGGGGGATAAGCTGAATTGATCTTTTAAATTTAACACCGTAATAAGCAGAGAAAGTATTTTTAAAATAGGCTCTACTAAAAAATTCCATTGGCTGTTGTGCCCCACCATTTAAGAACTGCAAATAACCACCTCTTCCTCCTTCCTTTCTTTTGAACCGATTTTTGGGGACTGGAGGTGTGTACTGACAATTTTATATTTCAACTCACGTATCAGTCATGTTAATATAGGTAACATAAAATCATCTTAATACAGATGAGAAAACATCTCTGACCACGAATCAACTTCCACACTGGTAATTAAAAAAAAAAAAAAAAAAAAAGAAGAGTCAAGACCACCATAATTTTAAAGTTTACTTTAAAAATGCAAATATCTCCCAATATTTAACAGGTAAAGAATATAGCATATTGGTTTATTTTATGTGGTTGTTATATTTTATTTTCCAAGTAATACTGATTAAAAATATGTACACATCTACTTTTAAGTCCACAGTTTAGCACTCTTATTTGTATGGCTTTAAAAGTTATAGCACAGGATCTTTACATTAAGGATCGGGGAAAAAGATTCATTCAAAACAAAGCCTGATATATTATATACATGTTTTTCTCTGTACTTTACTTTAAATACATTAATTTTTAACTGATGCTCATCTTATTTTCATCTGATGGTAAAATACTAGTGCAACTTTTCATCAAAATAAACTTTACCACAGATACAAATGAATTTTCCCAATTGAAAATGGCCCTTCAGCTGCCATTAAATGAAATTTGTCAACTTAAGTGAAAAAGAATTGGTAGTTGTCATTACTAAGCAAAAATATAAAGTACTATAGCATCACCTACATTGCTCCTTACAACACAAACTTTTAAAGAACCAGAGATGCTTTATAGAAGTTTAGTTGGTTTTCAAAAGGCACGTGGGTGTGGATTTTTTTTTTTTTACATTCTAGAAATTTTGCCACCACCACTCTGTTTCTGTTGTATAGATGACATCTGTGACTATTGGGATAGACAACAACGTTGTTCAAACTAAAGAAAGCCAGAAACCAAAATTTAACTGCACAGTAACAATGCACTTTTCTTCATGCAGCCTTGTGTTTCCTATATCAATTTTCTAACATGCATTAGAATACATAACCTTGTATTCTAATGAATTTGTTTGATTTTACAATACATAAAAAATTTGAGGAAGGACATGACCTAGGAAAGAGAGAAGGGAGAACCCTTACCACAATGAAAATAGATACATTCGTACCCAACTACATAAGAAGAATATAATCCATTTAAGTTTCCAGAAATAAAATTCTCAAAATTTCCCATTCACTTACGGGAAAGATCCCTCCTCTGTGGCATTAAGTGGGGGAAATCGGTTTGTTTCAACAGAAACAGTTCAGCACAACAAGAAGAAGTTTAACTTTGGTCCACTTGTCTGTTAGCTTAAGGACAGTCACACTGCCCATCATGAGTTCAAAAACCCAAAACATAAATTTAAAAATATATTCATTTGTTATTTCATTCTAGAACCGGCATAGGTGTTCTGTTCTCGTTCCCTGACCTTTCAGCTTGGGAATCCATTGTTGGTTTGGTCTCTAAACCCTCAGCATCTTCGTGATCTTCTCTGGCAGCCTCAGCAGCATCTACTTGGCTAGGCTCTCTCTCTTCCTGGTTCATGATTTCAGGGGACACTTGATCCAAGTCTGCTTCTAGAAGCTCAGTTTGTACTTCCACTGGCATCTGATTTACCCGTTCAACATGCAGTTCCTCTACATGTACTTCGGTACCTTCTTCAGTCTGAATTCGACCCACTTCTAGATAACTCACCTGGACCTGCTCTGGAAGCTCACTCATATGTGAATCGTGTACTTGGCTGTCCTGGAGCAGATCTGGATGGACCTGTTCCACAGTCACTTGTGCTGAATCCACCTGAACCTGAAGCAATGGTAACACATGCACCTTCCCAACTTGTTCTATAATAGTCATTGATGTCACAGGTTCAGTTTGCACACGTGTTTCTACTGAAAGAACTTCTTCAGTTACTAGACGCTCTGAAATATTATGAGTATCGCTGAGATGCCTCCTTAATTCATTTCCTTGCATAAACCACAAGTCACACAAAGTACAATGGTTGGGTTTATCTCCAGTGTGTATTACCAAGTGATCTTTGAACTGGTCCCAGCTGTTAAACACACTGTTACAGACCTAAAATAACCAAACATATGGTATTAACAACACTTATATTCAAACTAAAGGAAATACGGATGCTTTATTATCTGTAAGGAAAAAGTTGAAGATCTTTCTGAAAATGTCGTGAATATGATACTTGTAATATAATCTGGTCCAAGAGATTTTGTAACTCTTTTATTTGGTCTTTTAGCTGATGTAGCTAACAATTTAAATACATTTTGGGAAACATCGTAATATTGCCTTCATTGTTTAAGATGTCATATGAATTCTAGGAGTATAAAGTAGCAATATTATATTTTCTCCAGAATATCAACATTTAGAACAATTACATTATTTGGGATAAATATACATGAATCATGGAAGAGGAGGCAATTACATTTGGTCTGCCTTCCCCTGCCTCACCCGTGAATTCTAATGATTTCTCCATGGTTAAGAATAACCATAGTTTCAGACTACCCGTTATTTAGGACATTATTTTACTGACAATGGTGTCATCTAGGGTTGGGTTAAAAAAACACTACTCTCATCTCCCTTAAAAAAATCAAGACAATGATGTAATCTTTACCTTCATTTCTTTCCAAAGGGTCAGCTCTACACCTTTGCTCTAGACTCTGTTATCCTTTACTCTAAATGCTTTCAAACACAGACGCCTTTGCTGTGAATACACTCACACATACCTGACATTCATAAAGCTTCTTTCTTCCCTTTTTTGCCCCCACTCCAGTTTGGCACGCAGTCAGGTGACATTTGAGGGTGCTATTTCTAGCAAATCGTTCATGACAATTTGGACATTCAAAAGGTTTTTCACCTATTAGAATAGAAAAAATTATATTGACAAATTAAGAAAAATAGAAAAAGCAATTAAAGTTTTTTTATTTTTGGTTAATTGTAATAGCACCTTCTTAAAAGGAAGATTGGAATTTATAATTCAGATGTTTCTACCATATCCAAAAGATTTTTCTAGAAGTGGAATTAAGTTTTCAGTGATTATTATAATTGTACCTGTGCTCTGACAAAGAAATAAAATTTGAATCTGAATTCTATCCCATGTTTTTGCAAATCATAAAAAACTGTATGTTTTCCCTTAGATAAAAATCAAGATCAATCTCTATTTTGGGGAAATACATTGCTAACCATTCCGTAAGAATATTTTGAGCACTTACTGTGTGCCAGACCATGTGCTAGGTGATTAAGATAAATAAACTGTCCTTTTTTTTTTAAGATTGGCATCTGAACTAATAACTGTTGACAGTTTTTTTTCTTTTCTGTTTTTTCTCCCCAAATCCCCCCAGTAGATAGTTGCATATCTTTTTAGTTGTGGGTCCTTGTAGTTGTGGCATGTGGGCTGCTCCCTCAGCATGGCCTGATGAGTGGTGCCATGTCCGTGCCCAGAGTCTGAACCAGCAAAACCCTGGGCCGCCGAAGTGGAGCGTGAGAACTTAACCACCTGGCCACAGGGCTGGCCCCAAACTATCCTTGTTTTTAAAACCTTCATATCACAGGCCAGGGTACTTCAGGAAGGTAAAATACTTAAAAATAAACAAATGCAATGCACTGTAGAAGGTCTGTTACAGAAATGAGGACCATGGAAAACGTACTGCAGCAGCACAAAGCAGGAGAGTGGTTAATTCTGCCTGGAATGGAATGAGAGAAGGAAAGGAAAGAAATTTATTCTAGGCAGAGGCACAGAAATATAAAATAGCATGGTGAGTGAGGAGTAAGGAGGAAGCTCAATAATGACTCCCAGATCTATGGTTTAGAATATCAACCAGAATAAAGAACACAGAAGTCTAAGTAGGTTTGCTGTGGGGTGTGCTGGGAAGGATTATAAATTCAGTTTTATGTCTGTTGAGTTTGAGAGCAAAGTGGAAAATTCCAGTAGACAGTTGTATGGACAAATCCGGAGCCAAATAGAGGGTGGACTGACATAGAGACTAGGAGTTACTTTAGGTGGTAATAAAAACCTTTGATGTGGATAAAACTCCCAGTATGTTATGTGATTAACAGAATCAAGGCCAGATCCCAATGAAATGGCAAGTTAAATCAGCAGGTAGATGAGGCAGCAAAGAAAATGGAAATAACAGCCAGAAGTAGAAGGAAAGAACACTGAGGGAAATTAAGGAAGAAATTTCAGGAAGGAGAGGGTAGTAAACAGTGCCAAACTGAACAGAGATGTCACATAGGGTAACAACTCTCGCAAGAACAGTGCAAGTGGTGTGGTGGGATCAGGAGTCAGACTACAGTGGGATGAGGGAGAGTGAGTGAGAGGCAAGACAATGAAAACAGTCAGTGCAGAAATTCTTTCAGGAAGGCTAGGACATAAAGAGGAAAGGTGGGAGAGAGGTACAAGTCATTAACAGATTCAAGCCAGAAAAGAGTCATTATTTATTTATTGAAGGGGAAGAAGCCAGTGGAGGAGGAAAGGAGTAGGAATGATACATGAAGCAGAGTCTTCAAGGAGACATCAAGGTGTGGGATCCAGGGCTGACCATGAAAAAGAAAAGGGAAATATCTTTCTCTGTAATAAAAAAGGAAGCGACAAAGATGGAAGTTTACTGCACAGGTAAGTTAGGGATAAGAAGACAGCTATGTCATCTTCTGGGGTCTTGAGTGCTGCACTGAAGGTCTAGAATAGAAATTATGAAAAGAAAGATATAAATCCGACACCAAAAGGCCTAACTTAAGGTCTAATAGGAATTTTTTCCAGCAGCGCTCAGCAGGGAGTAGGAGTAAATGACTGCAATAATACCAGGATGGAGGGTTTTTTAGAGTAAGGGGGTTAAGAAGCCAAGGGAATGTGCTTAGAGTACAAGAAAAAGTGACTCAAGTTGTATACAATGAGCACAAGACAAGACAGAGAAAATAGGGCAGTAAGCTAGGTGAAATGGGATATGGAAGGACTGGAAGGCTAAATGAGGGAGAGTCCAACAGTTAGAGTAAGGAAAGAAGAGAGAATTCAAAAGACAGGATGATGCTTGTAGGGAATGGGCCCCAGTGAAGATGAGGTACTAGTCGTGACCCTTATAACTAGGCACAACAGACACAGTCAAGTAACTTTGAGCCGTGGTTTCTTTCCCTGACAAAACTCCAGCTTATTTTTTGTGTAAACGAGATGAAAAAACTAATTTGAGAGAGAAGACCTAATCACCTAGAATTAGTGTTGGTACAGAAACTCCTTTTCAACTCCCCAAATGTTGGGAGATATTGCTAAATAAAATTGTTAAGTTTTGGATTTTGGTAGTATATTATTTTTCAATATAAATGAAACCTACAAATACAAATTGGCACAGCCTCTTTAAAGAGCAATTTGACAATATTTTCCAAGATTTAAAATGCACATATTCTTTGATTTGGCAATTCTGCTCTTAAAAATTAAATTACTTGAACATGCACACAAAGATACATACAAGTATGCTTATTGCAGTATAGTTTACAGTATAGCAAAATATTAGCAACAACCTAAATGTGGATCAAGAGGAGTGGTTAAGTAAATTATGGGATACCCATACACTGAAATATGCAGCTACAGTGAAAAAAATAAGTAGATTCATGAATGTTTCATATATTAAAAACAGTTCAAGATAAATTAAATGGTACAACACTGTACTGCATATTCCTGTTTGTTTTCTCAAAAACTCTGTGTGTCTGCCTATGATTACTTGAAAATGCAAAGACTATATCCAGAAGGATAAATAAGAAAATAAAGGCAGTAGCTGCTTCTGGAGAGATCTACTGAAGTAGGAAAGACATTCACTTTTCACTGTATGTTGAGCTTTTGCTATTTAAAAAACTATTAATGAACCCCCCAAAATCCAGAAATAGCACCAGATTAATCATTCTTTAGATGTATAGACAGCACAGTCTCCAAAGTGCTTTTACTGTCTTCTCTTATTTGTCACAACCCTGTAAAGTAGGTATCATTACCCTTATTTACACAGACAAAGAAAGAGACCCAAAGATAAAGTGACTAGTCAAGTTTATCATGCTGGCAAATGTCAGAACTGGAGCTGGAATCTAATTCTGATTTCTGGACCCACATTCTTTCTATGATTCCACACTACTTTTCCAGGAAACTAGGGAACAATTATTTGAAAACATGGTTAAAGGTCACCTTTAGGTTCTCTTTCACACTCGGTATCCCTATCAACATGCCAGATATCTCCCCCGACCCCTAAAGTGCTTACCCTACTATATTTTTCTTTCTAAATTAATAACCTCCAATCATGTAGCCACTCAAATCAGAAAGCTGGGAGCTACCCTTTCACCCCACATCGTACCGATCACCAAATCCTGTTGATTTTGCCTACTTAACGTTACTCACATCTCCAACCCTTTTCCACTATTATTGCCTTTAGTCAATCCCTCATTCTTGTTTAGATTACTCCCTCAGCTTCCTGATTAGACCTAGTAGCTTTCATCCCACTCTAATCTATCCTGCCAGTCATCTCTCTCAAACATAAATCTGATCAGATCTCTTCCTAGATTAAACTTCTTTAAAATAACCCAGAGTCCCCCAAGAGAAATTTGACCTCATTTACAACACTTATGAAAATAATTACAAGATCTTGGCCTCATCTCCCATCATTACTTTCTCTCTCTTGCCCCTGAACCACTGGTAGTTCATCCATGATGCCTAAGTGCATGCCACACGGTCAGCCCTTGATAACTCTTCAGCTGCATCTCTTGGCATTCCTCCACTTGGACCGAATCCCCAAGCCATGATAACCTATTAGCAGTGCTCCACACGAGTTCCTTCCTCTCTTTTCTCTATGCCTGTGTATGTTTCATTTCTTTTGCCTGGAATGCTCATCTTCTGGCTAACTCCTTTTCCTTTGGGAGTTATCATAGGGTAAACCCTCTAGGAAGCAATCCTTGCCCTTTCCATCATAAACAAACAGCCCAGGCATGCATTCCCATAAGACTCTGTGCTTACGTCTATCAGCACTTAGCCTGTCACACTGTGATTGTGCCTGCTTGTCTCCCCCAATATAAGTTTGAGCTCCTTGATGGCAGGGACTCTAAAATTTCTTTATCTCCATGACCAAGAAGATTGGTATTACCATTACTATTTTCCAAATGGAAACAAAATAATTCCAGAGGACAAGCAACAGCCAAATTTTGCTTATCAAGCCAGATTACAGTGTACGCTTTAAGAATATACAAGAAACCAAACCACAAAACTAACAAAAGTATGCAAAATATGCAACTGAGGGGGGTGTATTATGTATATATTGAGGGTAGGAAACAGGAACATATTGTTTCCTTACCTTACACTTAGCTATAAGTAAAAAACAATCCATCCTTATTTTTTTGTGGCTGAGGAAAATTAGCCCTGAGCTAACATCTGAGCTAATCTTCCTCTATTTTTTTGTATGTGGGACACCTCCACAGTGTGGCTGGTAGGTAGAGTATGTCCGTGCTCAGGATCCAAACCCATGAACGTGGGCCACCGAAGTGAAAGGCACAGAACTTTAACAAGTCAGCCATGGGGCTGGGCCCAAAAACAATCCATCCTTTGTTAACATAAACATAACTTAAAACTGTTTACTTATGCTCCTCTTGAATTCACTAAGTCTTGATCACATCTTAAACTATCTTGTCACTAATTACTAGTACAATAATTGATTGAGATTAAAAAAGACAATGAAAGTTCAGTTTGCATTATGTGCTCAAATATTCCTCCAATGGTCATCTGGTTCTATAACTTATAACTACTTAAGTTAATTTACTTATGTTATCTCACATCATTTTGACGGGAAAGACAAAGGCACACAACATAATGTACTTTACCTGCCTATTCTGCTGTTTGATCCAAAACACAAAGTGCAGGATTTGGAAAGCACATTTTAAAACTTTCAAAATGGTCTGTGTTGTCCTATTTTCAAACAGGTAAGTCACTAGTTTTGGGTAAAAGAGACAATTGCTTCTACTTTCACAATGCTAGGAAATAAAAGTGACTGATTATCTGTTGGGGTACCAGAAACCACTATCAAAGTGCGCTAGTTATCAAGATAATGCCTATTTACCAATTTACTGTGCTGCTGGTAAATCAATCCTTTGACAAAACTAATCCAGAGTTACCACAAAATGTTCATCAATAGACCATTAAAATAGATGAATATTTGTTTTCTAAGGACCAAAAACTATATCTACAGGCAGTTTCCAAATATACAGGTTTATAATGTATGAAAATCAGAAAGTATTTTCCCAAAAGATTTCATAAACACCTATTAGTTATCCAAACTAGTACTTTAAAGTCTTTTAAATCCATACTGAGCTTTAAGTAAAGTATGAAATTCTCCTGCTATTCATGCAACCACTGAGTATTGATACCAAGTATCTATTCAGTTCCTGAGTATTGATACCAAGCATTCGAAACGTGAGAGATACCCCATTATCTGAATCTATCTGGTTTCTCAATTTCAAGTAGTGTGTAGCAAGTGACTTTGGACAGCAAGAGATCTATGAAAGAAATTCATCCAAAGTTCTCCAAACTCCAGCAGAGAGAAAGATTCTGAACAGTGTGGGATACGTATGTTGTAATCACTGTACTAACAGTCTAAAAAGCCTTAACCACCACACATAATAAGAACATGGGAATAAGTGTCCAGAAGTCTGACACGTAGTATACCATAGCACCTGCTCTCTCCACACCCTTGTTATAGTGGGTTTAGGGTCTTCTCGAGACTCAAGTAATTAGTGGTAGCTTCCGTGTGTGGCACAGGAGACCTAATAAAGACTGCTTGGGAAGTGGAAGCAAGGACAGGGAATCTGTCAGGGAAAAAACAGGCACAGGGGATGGATGCAGATCTAACAGCCAGAGGCTCTAAGGAAGACTCCGTGGGACAGCGCCCAGGACAGTAGAAGTATTATCCTTCTCATCACCCTGGCTGTCCACCAGTCCTGACACATTTGCCCTTAGAGAGGCGAGGGGAGATGGACATACACTGCTTACCTAGCTACCAGGTCAAGCAGATGACCAAACACACAAAGGTATAAACATATCAGGGATTATCTGTAAATGTACTCATCTATGTAACTTATTAACAAGAGACAGGAAATGTAAAAATAATTAAGAGTGAAGTTTCACTATAATTAGGATTTCCTAATTTATGATCCTTAGTAAATAATGACAAACTGTGTTTTACTTATTTCTTTTAAAAATATAAAATTTGGCAAGGTGTAGCAGTCACAATGACTTTTAAGTTGATACTGATTTTACCTTTAAAACATCAATATTACAAACTAATATTACAAATGCAGTGTGAACTCAGCTTGTACATTAGAAAATACAGCAGATGGTTTCCATGGTATTAGTTAAAAACAAAAAGGATTCAGATACTCAGACTTGAAGTAAATATGAAAAAATATACTTTTAACATAAAGTATTTACTAATTACCTGTATGTTTTCGAAGATGTTCTTTAAAATGTCCAAAGTGGTCAAATTGTTTCTCACAGTACTGACATATGTGAATTTTTTTCCCAGTTCTTTGCTTCTTACTGACTCCACCTTCTTCAAGGTGGTAACAATTGAGGTGCTGTTTCCATGCGCTCTCCCGAAGATACCTTTTATTGCATATTTCACACTTGAAACTCTCAGTGGAGTGTGATTTCATGTGTTCCTTAAAATGGTAAAACAATTTAAATGAACGGTTACATTTCTCACAATGGAACAAGTCCTTCACATGTGACAGCTGAAGTTCCACAATTTCAATACCTTCTACCTGTTTGCTTGTGGGGTCAGATGCACAGCCATCTTCGTCTTTAATCTGCCCTTTTCTATCACCTTGACGGTACTTGCTGGTAATGTCCGCCAACAGTGCCAGAGCAGAATCATCAGAGGAACCTGTGCTCTGAATGTACTTTATGGACTGCTTGGCAGAAGCCACTTCCTCTAATGTATCGATGCCTTCATCTTCCACTTCAATTGTGCCTTCAGCAATCTCCACCTCAATTTCAACAGGTTCTGATTCTGCAGATGGCAACGACTCGGTGATAACATTTGAAGTTTCTGCAATCTTTCTTTTTTTTGCCTCACTTTTTCCTGTAGTAGTTTCCTCTAGTGGAGCTGAGTTTTCTTTGTTCCTGAAACATATAACGTATGAATTAAAAAATTATAAGATTTATCAAAATTTTAGCAGGCTTTTGGGAAGAAATTGATAAAGTGATAACAGAATTAATATGGAAATGCAGAAAATAAGATTGCAGGACTTATACTACCTGATTTCAAGGCTTACTGCAAAGCTACAGTAAATTAAGAAAATGTGATATTGGTAAGGACAAAGATTAATAGAACAGTATAAAGTCCAGAAATAGACCCACTCTTATATAGTCAATTGATTTTTGAAAAAAGGTTCCAAGGTAATTTAACGGAGAAAAGAATCTTTTTTTTTTTTTTTTAAGATTTTATTTTTCTCCTTTTTCCCCGCAAAGCCCCCCAGTACATAGTTGTATATTTTGTTGTGGGTCCTTCTAGTTGTGGCATGTGGGACGCTGCCTCAGCGTGGTCTGATGAGCAGTGCCATGTCCGCGCCCAGGCCCAGGATTCGAACCAACGAAACACTGGGCCGCCTGCAGCGGAGCACGCGAACTTAACCACTCGGCCACGGGGCCAGCCCCAAGAAAAGAATCTTTTAACATTGCTGCTGAAGCAACTGGTATCTATATGGGAACTATAAACCTCAATCCTTACTCTCATGTTGTACACAAAAAATTAATTCAAAATGGGTCACAGACTTAAACATAAGAACTAAAACTATCAAACCTCTAGAAGAAAACAGGAGAAATCTTTATAACATTGTGTTACTGAAAGATTTCTTAAATAGCACATAAAAAGCAGAAATCTTAACAGCAAAAACTGATAAAAATGGATTTTGTCAAAATTAAGAACTTTTTCCCTTCGAAACACATAGTTAACAAAAAGACAAGTCACAGACTGGGAGAAAATATTTGCAAACATATATCTGTCAAAGGTCTTGTATAGAGACTATAAAAAGAATTCTCACAATTCAATAAACTCAGTAAGAGAAGACAACTATTGGGAGACAATTCTCCATGAGCCTCTTGTGTTTTTGCACATCTTGTGAACTGACAGCTTTGTTCTAGACTATCTTTTCAAGGATGTCTGCAGAGGAGCCCGCAGCCTGAGAAGACTGAGAGTATGTCTCCCTCTGGAACAAAGGGCAGCTTTGCTTACTGTCCACTACAATAATGCCCCCCTCTGAGACAAAGGTGGAGCAGGTTTGCTTGCAGTCCATTATAAAAGATTGGGTTTCCTAAGTTGGAGATGCTTCAGCTGTGAAGTAAACCAACCATATGCACAGCATTCACCCAGGCCACTCTATGTCAGCCCTGTGGGACTTCGGGGAGAAAGGTAAACTGGTACAAATATAAAACTCATGTTACACGCTGTGCAGAAAGTAATAAAGTCTTTTCTTTCTGACCTAAGAGTCCCATATCTTCTATTAGCATCCATGAAACTGTGGCAGGATAACCTGTTGGCTTGCAAGTAGGGTAAAATCTTAGATCCCTCACAGTTCTTGTCAGGTTTTGGCAACAAGGACAGGATACTGAAAAAGATCAGGCTTTCTGGAAGAGGAAGGATGAAGCCTCACAGAGCAATTAATGGGATCTGAGGAAGTCCATTGGAGGTGGCAGCAAACATGTTAACCAAACTGTATGGTGAACTGGGCAATAAATGGCCTTCTACTTAACTGCATACTGCTATGCGTTGAATTGTGTTTCCCAAAAAGACACAGTGCAGTCCTGACCCCCTGATACCTATGAATATGCTTTTATTTGGAAAGAAATCTTGGCAGATATAATCAAGTTAAGATGTTGTCAGTAGGGTGGGCCCTACTCCAATACAACCATGTCCTATTAAGAGGCATATGTGAATACACACACAGAGGAAAAAGTCATATGAAGACGGCAATGTGAAGATGGAGGCAGAGTTTGGAGTTATGCTGCCACAAGCCAAGGAACGCCTGGGGCTACCAGAAGCTAGGAGAGGCAAGCAAGGATCCTCCTCTAGATGCTTTTAAGGAAGCATGGCTCTGCCAACACCTTGATTTAGGACTTCCAGCCTCCAGAACTGTGAGACACTAAATTTCCATTGTATTAAGCCACTCAGTTTGTGATACTTTATTATGGTAGCCCCAGGAAACTAAAACATCTATTAATAAGGAACAACTGGGAATGTAGTTGCAGGATGAGTACTGGGCAATTAAGTTCAAGAACAGCTGCTAGAATGGTGCCCTAGTTGCTGCAAACTTTGGCAGGAGGGGCAGGCATTTTCCCTGCCAATCTGGCAGTCTGTCCCATCTTAACAATGGATACTAAGATTCATGGTGGGTGGAGAGGGCAGAGACAGGTTTCACCACTTTACAGACAAGTTACCGCGACATGCACCTAAATCAAGTTTGATAAGAAAATCTGCAACTGCTACTAACAGCAACCAGTTGAGACATTAGAACTGTGGCTGCTCCATATGGAAATGAGGAGGCAGCATAATGTTTGTTAAGAATGGCAACATCTAGGCCACATCTCAGGGCTCAGTCCCTCCTGCAGTCTGTCATGTCTACCTTAGATCCAGCTGGAAATGACTGTAAAAGGTCTGAGTTTTTTTGTAGTGGGTCCTGGCTGCCATAATGGTGCTTTGGTGCTCTTGGGGAGATTTGTCTGAGACAAACATTGACTAGTAAGTCTTCCTGCCCAACTGGGTTTAAAATGCTGAGTCACTTTGGGAATGAGAAAAGAATCCAAAACAATATGAATTCTTGTAGTCGGACCTGTTGAAGACCCCTCCAACCTTTATGTTAAACCAGTGAAAAGCATTAGAGATGTTATCATGACAATGGGAAAGCAAATGTCGAGGATTAAGGCACAATTAAAAAAAAAAAAAAAAAGCCACCACTGTGCAAGGTAAGTCTAAGTCAGCCAAAAGGCATAAACCTCGTGGCACCAACTAGAAAGCAATGTGAATGAGGCTGTTAAATCAAGAGGTCCCCAGTGAAACAGATGGTGTCAGTAATGTAAGCCTTGCTGCCTGGTAGAGGGCTTTGGGTGGGGTCAAAACACTGGAGGTTTGTTTAGTTGGGCACACGTAACTCTTGTGCTGTTTGAAACCAAAAGTAAATGTGCCTTGCTCACTGACACAGTCACTTTCTCCCTTCACATCTCTTCCTCTTCTACCTTCCCTTCTCCTCTACCTTGACTTCACCTGCTTGGAGAAAGATAATTAGAGGTAGAGGTGAGGTCTCCCTGTTCCCAAGGGTATACAATGAAGACTATCTACCCGTCCAAGTACACTCAAAGAAACTCAGGAATGGGAAGGATGCAAACTTCCATGACTCCGCTACATTCAGGTGTCCAATTCACCATCCCACTATGGGGAGAGGAGGCACTCGTTCAACTGATGGGGTCTGGGCAAGGTACATAGTAGGAAAGGGAGGCTGTCTTGACTCTGTGGGTGGGGCTGATTCTATGTACTATTACTGCTTTGACATCTGGATGTACAGAAGGAATTGCTATGGGACTTATACTTCCCCATCCCATAAGCAGCAGAGATGAATCATCCCAATTGGGAAGAGCCACAGGTAGAGGAGAGCTACTGAAACAAATCCCCCCGACATTTGCCACCAGTAGCTGGGTCAGGATTTAGCTCGTGTCTCTATCTCATTATGTCTAAAGTTTACGCTATATTGATGATGTCCTGTTGACTGGCAAGCCAAAAGTCTCAGTCTCAAGGGCCGTGACTGCAGTGTTACCACACCTCCACCAGCAGGGGTTGCTGATATACCCCAACAAAATTCAAGTTTCTTGGGACCATGCAGGTGGATTCACAAGGCTCTATTCCTCCAGCAGTAAAAGAAAAACTACTGCTTCTTCACCTCCTCCCTCCTCCCACCAAAAATGAGGCCCAGCATCTTACTGGACCTTTTGGGTACTGGAGACAGCACATGCCTCACTTAGGCATTCTACTTTCTTCTTTACAGCAGGTAATCTGCAAATCAGCATCTTTTAAGTGGGGCTCCAACCAACAGGCTGCATTGGAAGTTGTCCATTAAACTGTGGCATGTTGCCTACCTTTGGAGCCCTACCACCTTAATGACCCCTTTGAGCTACAAGTCTGAGACTGATGCTTTTGCAGATTACAGCTTCTAGCAAAGGGAGGCAGCCTCCGCCCAAAGGTACTCCTTGGGTTTTGGACTTGTCAATTCCCTGACATGGCTACAAGGTATATTCCCTTTGACAAGTAAGGATTAGCTTGATGTTAGGCTCTTGTTGCAACTGACACCTGATCCCTGGAGGCTTTGAGGCTCTCTAGCCTGATGTTACCACTTGGGAATGTGTCAACTAAGACTTCATGATTAGCAAGGTAAGAAGTGCCCAATAAGTCTCACTCGTCAAACAGAAATAGTATAGTCAAGAAAGCAGTTGGCCTCTTGGCTTTACGTGAAAAAGTGGTAGCTCCTCCACTCTGTTGGCCAAAGAAAGCCACTATATCAATGGAGTCTTTGATCACTGATGATTTGGCTAAGCTGAAGGCCGATGGTGTTCACTGGGCTGCTGTAGAGCTCAGTCTTACCACCAACTCTGCAAAACCAAAAGTGGATGTGGTTGCTCTGCTCAGAAGGCAGGACTTAAGGCTGTCTTCGTAACTCTGGACATTTTCCACAATAAACCCTGTTATATTTTTACTGACTCTTGGGCTGTTGCCAATGGCCTAGATGTTTGGAAGACTTGAAAATCCTGGAAGATTAAAGACACCCATCTTTGGAATCACAACTGGAGAAACAAGTAACAGCTGTTGATCAAATTGTCTGGATCATTGATTTAGAGGCCCATGGTAATGAAACCAATGACAGCAACTAGAATCAAGCCTGCACTGCCCAGACTTCCATCATGGACACCCAGATCCAACATTCTGGACGTGGTGACACATTCACTATCACAGACTGAGCAGAAAGTAAAAGACCCTATATTTTTGATGTAGAAGCTGCCAATGCATGCTAGACTTGTAACACCTGCCAAAAGTTGGCCTGTTTATCTCATGGTGAAGGAGGCAACATGGCACAGGGTGT